ATTTTATTTTTAAATCTATACTTCATGTTACATACACTATAGACTTAAGAGTAAAATTTTCCTCGGAAATTTTCCTCCGGAAAGAACGTTTTGGAATGCAACTTTAATATCTTTTATCTTTTTTCGTATGTGTCATCTACTAAATACGGTCTGTCGCTTTCTCGGGAATTTAATTGCTCATGATTGTTATCTCAACACGAAGTAACATGATTCATGCAGTAATCGCCCCACATTTCTTTATTGATCACTGACGCATATAAAAATTCGAAATGTGATTTATTTTAGCCAGAAGGTGCTCTATCGTAAAATATTTATTAATACAATACGTGTCACTATACTTGAGAAAAAAAGCGGTTGGATCGACAAAATTGATGATCACCGGCCAAGAAATATTGTATTATTAACAAATATTAAAACATAATATTGCATCTATTTAACAAAATACATGTTAATGCAACAATAAGTTGCATTAACATGTATTGAAATCATTATATCAACCGACCGATGACCGCCGATTTTGTCGATTCAACCGCTTTTTTCAATGTATATAATAGTCAATCTATATAATTTCAATGTATACAAATAGTATATAATACTATTTTTCATACAATATTATTATTATTAGTATTATTAGTTTTATTATTAGTATTATTAGTATTATTATTATTATTAGTATTATTAGTACTATTATTATTATTAGTATTATTAGTTTGGTTAGTATTTTTAGTATTATTAGTATTATTAGTATACAATATTATGTAAATATGGTTCTTTCTGCATTTCTATTTACGTTTTCTTTAAGTGGTTAAGGCAACGCCGTTGCATCGTAGACGATCGTTAAAAAACGAGAGCGATAAAAGCGCATGACGAAAGCTAGTCATCAAAACTATAATTTAGTAGCATTTATATTACTCCTATCCTCTCCCGCCTCTAGTCTAACGATTACATTATCTAGCTCTGGTACAATTGATCCTGACGTCGACGTTACGATCCGTAATCGCATGTTTTGTGACTTTCACGCGACCGACTTTACTCCAACATGCTGAAGGTGCCTCTCATATTGGTCTCTCGTGTTGCGTCTTTCCTTTTTCCTTTCTTCCTTTTTATTTCGAAGCGCCATCGCCAACACCTATCCGTATTTACGTAATAGTGTGCGTAATCGACTGAGGAAGCTACTCTACGTCGAGAGAGCGAGAGAGTCACTTACATGGGAAGTCGGGACTGGATTCCGACACTGTACCGACATGACTGTCACACACGACGGATTATTTCTTCTTTTGCATTTTTTCAATACCGATATATTGAATGTTTTGAGAAAAACGTCCAGAAAAAGGTAAAAAATTCAAAATGAAAGAATTCTTCGGAAAAGAAAGAGGAAAGAAAGAAGAGAAGAGTTTGCGAGTTCAAGAGGAAAGAGAAGTATATGTAGAAGAAAAGAATTTAGTCTCAAAGAGGAAAAGAAACCTACAAAAGTTCGAGTTTTTAGACGCACGCTTTCGAGATGAATTAAATGAAATGGTAGAACAATATTAATTATTCCCTTAAAGCTTTGTTAAAGTTTAGGCTCTCCGTTATTGGGATCAAATAAAAAATACGATGTTATTTATCTCTCTGTGCAACGCCATACCTGTTTAAAAGTATTCATTAATCGCAATCACTTAAAAATTAAGCTCTCTCTCTCTCTCTCTCTTTCTTCCTCTTCCCCTTATAATTTAGAAACTTCAGTCCCTCGATGCTTCCCTTACGAAAGAAAATATTCACGGAAAGTTCGTCAAAATAGTATTCGCTGATGACAGACGGTATAGATATCTGTCTGATTGGATGTTACCCGAGCGTTCATTAGATATGTGATAATCTGTATAACAACTATGTCGACGTGTACGGGACGAACAATTGTTATTCATGACGCTACGTGAGAAGTCAAGTTCTCCTTGTTATAGTCTTTACATCGCTTACCGTATGCTATTTGATTCCCTATGCACTCCCTAAGTACACTTATCAAGTATGAATTAACTACGAACGGCCGTACGTACTTTCGTGTCCACTTCAGCTCAATCGAGCGCATAAATACGCCTACGTAAGGTCGGCTACGCTCTACTGCCGGCCTTTGATTGATATGATCGATTGTGAGATTAGAGCTCAGTGTGCCAGTAGTACACACAAAGAAATGGTTTAGTAATATCAGCTAAATCTCAGTAGCTGATTCGGCTGATTCAAAATGATTAGCTAAAAGATTAATCATTTTGTTTCCATTGCTGAGTTGGCTATCACAAGCAGAATGCACTCGCTGTGAGATACAAATTAATCAAAATTAGAAGCGCATATATATTCGAGCAGCTAAAAAAGTGGCAGCTATTTCTAAATATCTTGCGCGCGTGAATCTTGAACATCCAACTCTGTAAGGAATTAATCTTACAAAGCTCGTGCTATCACTTCTCGTGCACGAGCATTATCTTATTAATTATCAAACACGTTTTGCAAAAAGCAAGATGTGTTATTATTAATCTGAATAGAAATAAAACTAATAAATATTATCTGTCTTTTTAATAAAATTAAGAAGAAAGCTGCAGAAAAATATAATTTTTAACTAATTTACTTTTTGTGACATCAAATTATTTTGTTAGAAATTTATATAATTGCGCGTTAGAAAATATGTATATAGCAGATCTATCAATTCATTCATAATTTGTAGTCCTGGATTGAATCCCACTTGAGTAAAGGCGAATTTTTCAAGTATATTGTAACATGGAATCAGTTAGATAGCCAACTTCAGGCAAAATAATCATATATTATAACCTTAAAAAACATTTCAGTTAAAAAGACAATAAAATTCTTGAAAATAGAAACAATTTTATTAGTATTGCATGTATATCTAGCAGCGAATATTTTTTGATGCAGCGCCTAAGTTCAAGGAGCTAATTGAGGCTCGATAGCAACGACATTAGCCGTCCTTATTTCAAAGACACATTTTAGCTATCGCAGCTGTATTTTAGCCTTCAGTTAATCCTTTTTCTGCGTGTAGCGTTGTTGTCGTCGTCGACAAAGTTCCGAAATATTAACCTCGGATCCGCATTCTGCGGACCGTTATTTCGACCTAGTAACGAGCAGCACATTCCACAACACTTGACGCGTACAATTAGGACGACGCGCGAATATCCGCGTGGGATTAATTCCTCCATGGCTACTTACATTAAAACATGTTATCATTTGCATTTGTGCCTTACCGATACACAAACACACATTGTATGTGTACGAAAAACTAGATTAACTCTCCATCAATAATCTGAATCTTTCAAGGCACAAGCAAAATTACTTTCTCGAATTTCTCTGAGGGAAGGAGGGGGCGGGGCCTGGTGTCCCCTCTTAAAAAAAGTTTAGGGTAGAGGAATCCCACTGCCCCAGTGACGCCAATTTCTGTCAGTGCGTGTTCGACCAGCGGCTTGTCAAAATTAGGCCTGTGCCCTCAACGACTCAGATTGCTGACAACGTTAGTGCTTTTGGATATTAGTGAATTTTTATTTGTCTCGTTTTTACACTATTTTTCTAATATTTGTCGCTAGCTAAAATTTCTATATCATTAGTAGAGGATTATTTACGAAATAACGAAAAGAAACGGCAGACAATTACGGTACCTTTTACGTGAGCGTCATTTATGAGTTTAGGAACATTTACGTTAGTCACATCTATATGATGACGCTTCATATTTTGTATAAGTAATCATTTTTTATGATAAAAATTTATATTTCTAAGCCAAACTTCATTTTTCTTTGTATTTAGCGCATGTACAAGCTCCTCTAAAATTTCACTATTTTCATTTTAAAATAATTATTTTTTGGGACCAATTCAAATGAGACTATATTCTTTTAAAAGATTATAGTCTGAAGTACAAAACGCTGCAATAATTTTTCTTAATATCCGTTTGTTGCAAAGTTATGAATTTTTAAACAAGTTTCCATTTTTTCCTCATTTCTATCCAAATTTCGTATTTTGTATAAACAATATTTTCGTTATATAATTTCGTATATATTTTCGTTATTTTGTGTAAACAATACGGTTTAACATTTGACTTTAAAACTTATTGATATTGTAGTAGAAATATTATAGTAGAAATTGATTTTGTAGTAGAAATGTTGACGAGTAACCTAGAATTTTTTCGGATTTCTTGAGAGCCTAGAACATAAAAATAACATAGGATGGACTTAAAAGTCGGATAATCGAACGCTATTTATAGACGAGTATACACACGTGGCTTTCGCCGGGCGTCGCGTTCTCGGCGGGAAACTCTAAGACGATTACCTCTCGCCGATGTCGATGCACACACCCGCACTCGAAAAGATTATCAGATCTTTATTTGTGAGTTTAGGAACGTATCCGTCTTGTCCAACGGGAGAAGTTGTTTTCCATCGGGAGAGAGAATTCTCCCACTAGACAGGACGGATACATTTTTGAACTCATAAATGATAGTTTGACAGCCTTTCTGAAAGCGAGTGTACAGTATGGTAAATGTAGGGTAAATGTATTTTGCGATAATTCGCAAAATCGCGGGTGTATACTTCGTGAAGTATGAAATCTGAATTTTTTGTTCACTTCTCAGAATCATCTCGTGTTTAACGAGATGGGAACGAATAGACCGGCATACATCGCGAAAGCATCACTTCTTGGCGTGCGATGTGAATGTCGGTACACACACATTTCTCCACATAGTCGTAAAGTCTAAAATCGCTAAAATTTTTAGCCACAGCTCTTGGCGAAACTTATTTTCTTTCGTATATGTTAGGTGTTTCATCTGAAACTCTCATTAACACACGTGTGGAGGGAAAAAACAGTTTCTCATGCAAATGCAAGTTCACGAAGTACGACTATCTGACTATGCTAGCCTTACTTAGCTTCATTGTGATATGATTCACGATGATACAACGAAACGTGCAACAAAAACACTACGAACTTCTGCCACACTTTTCGAGAAACGAGAAATAATTCTTGCTGTATTCTGATTTCAGGAGCCTTATCCAAGATGACGAGCATAGTAACGAACCTGGTGCATAGTTATAGGGACCTTATGGACAATCAGTCCGGTAAGTTTGATATGTTTTATGATATCACGCACAAGGAAGCTTCCTGCGTGCTTCTGTTCTCGATAAAACAATTCCTCAGCATCTAGAAAAGTTCTCTCTATTGAAAAAAATGTCTGTCGATTCATAAAAATTAATGGATTGGCGATAAGAATAATGCCAAGATATATTTGTACTTACACAAATAGCACGTGTATTATCGTCTCGCGACTTGTTTCATTCAATATCGTTACTATTACAAAATTGGCTATCTCCAAGCAACCGATGGAGATCGCACGTTGCAGTCATATGACTGTAAAGTAGGCTATTTGGCTTGTGATTTGATGGAAAGTATAATCTCGCTTGTCTTTTGTCAATTTAAATGGGAGCCTACACACACACACACACACACACACACTCTCTCTCTCTCTCTTTCTCTTTCTGATAATTTAGTCGCGTCATTTACGATTAATTAATCTTTTACGCTTGGGTGAACGATAATCCATTTTATTCTCAGGATAAATTATATTCCAAAACGTGCTTTCTATATTTGGAGCGCTATTTCGTGGTCGATATTTAAGTCTCTTGATATCGATCTTATGTTATTTTAATTAACTTCTTCGTGCCAAATGTTGATTTTCGATTTTTACATTGAACACAAATGTAACGTGTAAAAACGCACACAAATACTGTATAAAAACGCAAAATAAACGTACATTGCTTGAGCGTGTTCTAAAAGCTAGTTTATCAAAGGTACGCTAAAAACTTGTTGAACCGAGTAACATAATGATTATGTACATGTGCTTGTACTCGACTAGTTAAATGGGTTTGCAAAGCCGAAGGATCGCGAACGCATCACTTTTCGCGTTAATGGCGCAAGAAAGAAAGAAAGAAGGAAAGGAAATATGAAGAAAAAAGAATGAGAAATTCGCATCTTGAAAATTTTGTATTTTTACTGATCGAGCTCTCGTGTACGAGAAAAGTGCAAATTTATTCAATAGTCGGGTGAGCGGACGTAAGAATATTCAACGGGAATCTCACGCGTATTACAACCGAAATTTCAACAGTTTCCGGTAAGTCTGTTTACCACAGGTATTTTTACGTCCTTCCCGAATGGCACGAGTCAATATCGTGTCGTAATACCGCCGTCTCGTTTCTAATTTCTCTCAGAGGATTTCATTCGGAATCCTTGACCCTCCCCCGTGTTACGTCACTCGATCGTGTTCCTCTTCTGATCTCGCGAGACGTCGACGTGGAATGCTCAACACCTTACAATGCATCCTTGTGATGCACAATGTGCAAATAATTGAACAAAGTAGAAAGGACATCTTTAGTACACGCCAGGTGAGCCAGGCAAGCGACAAGCAGTTGCCTTTGGATCTTGTTAAACGGAAGTTCACTGTCTCGACTGGAATAAGTCGAAATAATTTTGTAAAAAAATAAGAAAAAGTACTTGATTCTCTGTATGTCGCATACAATATGTCGTAAAAAACGGCTGTGTTCTTTTGTTCTATGTATTTTTTATCATGAATTTTGAAAGTACGCTCGAGTGCGCGTACACTCGTTTGCTTGCCGGCGTATTCGTTTATAGAGCACTTTGTCTTGGACATATATTGCAAAACACGTCTAACATTTAATTAAAGAATCTGTCTGATGAAAACTATCGAAGTGTATTAACTACGTTCCAAGAGAAAAACTACGTCAAAGAGAAGGCCCAAACGAGCGTTCATTCGTTGACATTTGTCGACATGATAGTGCAGGATTCGACGGGATGAAATCATCGGTCTTATCTTTGATTAGGGCGCGCGAAGCGAGCGGGAAAATTGCACGGTCCGCGATATCGTGCCGAGAGTCCTTTGACGTTTCATCGCGGCGCAGCGCGACGTCAGCGGAAATCGATGAGTACGGTCACTGGTGCATGCGCGCGCGCGTGTGTGTGTGTGCGTGTATGTATGATGGCGAACGCGATATCCTTTTTTCCCCTTTTTTTCTACTAACCTGGACTTTCTTACCATGCAACAAATAGACGTAGTGCCGACAAGACGACGTCAGCTCGTGTATTCTCCGCCAATTGTAGGCCGTATAGACTCTGAGGCGCCTCTCTACCCCGTCCCCGACGATGGGCGCCCTTGGCGTCGCGTTCTTGCGTCCGATTTCGTCAAAGCCGTCGCAAAAGCATATTACGTAAAAGACGCGCGCTAAATGCATGGATAGACGGAATTCCGTGCAATATCAGCCGTCACCTGGCGTTTCGCTTCGTCATTACGTTGCGCGCCTCGTCGCCCGCTTGCACCCACTTTCTTTTCCAAACACCGACAACCGGCTCGCACTCGTTATTGGGACAACGCTCTCGTGCGTCGCCTCTCTTATCGATTAGCCTTACCGCCGCTATCAGCGCCGAGATAATGTTTCGAATTAAAATCCGGCACAGGACGTCGCGCGAGCGAAGTTGTCGGATGTTTCCCTTTAATGTTTCCCCACCTTCTTCAATTTCATGATTTCTTCGTGGCGAAAGCGCCAAGGCCATTCGTGGACTCGGTGCAATTCCGACTTGCAAATGCCAATTGCGCCAATCGGGATATTTTTACATATATTGCTTATATACAGAAAAATAAACACTGCGTTAAAGTAAATTTTATTTGTTTCAAGTGTTTCATAAAAAAGTTCATACATCCGTCAATCTATCATAAATTTGACACATAAGCATCAAGTTTATTCAAAATATATTCTAAACCCTAGTAAGTTTAACATTTCAATCAAGAATGTTAAATTAAAAGAAAAATTCAATTTACTTATCATATATAATGGAACTTTTGCCTTGATAAAATTTTATGACATTCTTGTAAAGACAATAAATTCTTCCTTTGAGTACACGATAATGAGCTTTTCTGAACGAACTGAGTAGTCTCCTTTCTTAGCGATAGAATTATATTTCTGTGTATACATAATATATATATATATATATATATATATATATATATATAACATTGCAAAAAATATGTATATAAAACATTTCAAGAAGGTATACGAGGGTGGTCTGAAAAGTTTCCGACCTAACAAAGATACAAGTCATTTTTTCTGAAAATTGTTTTTTATTTTTCAACATAGTCTCCTTGTAAATCTACACACTTCTCCCAGCGATGCTCCCATCTCTGTAACCCGTCGAAATAGTACTCGGCGTTTTTCTCTGCAAAATAATTGTTCACGAAGGTGATTGCCTCTTCATTTGACGAAAATCTCTGTCCTCCGAGCGCAATTTTTAGATGAGGGAACAAAAAGAAGTCGCTTGGGGCTAGATCTGGTGAGTAAGGTGGATGGTCAAGCAGTTCAAACCGTAATTCGTGGATTTTCGCCATGGCAACCGCTGAGGTGTG